TGGAAATGGGTGCCTACACTGCCTTCTGAATGGTAAGTTTCATAGGGAAAGGTCCGCATATAATGCTATTTTAACATGCCATCTTAACAGTAGCAAGTGTAGCAAACTGAAATACAGCTTAAAAATGTTTTGAGTAAACTCTAAAAGGATTAGTGCTGAACATAAAGCAGATACACAACTTAGAGGGCTGGCTTTCTATCTAATAACAACTTATGGCATTTAGATATATAGCTAGACTTCAATGATTAAAGTCTGCAGTACACACTGTTTTACAAGCTATTCATCAGTACAGCATTCTATGTGGCTCTTACTGACTAATATTGTTTATTTATTTTGTGGCACTATCATTTTAAGAAATTTATTTTTGAAGTTAAGAAACATTCCTTGGAATAAAATGTGTCTTCACTCTGCAGGAGAGCACTTACAGTGAAAAAAATTAGGGCTGGTAATGATTACAATTTTCGTGTTCGATTAATCGAGATGTTTTTTAATCGATTCATTTTGATTTAATTATAACGCACATACAGATCCAATTACATTGGCCTATACACATACAGCACAGCAATGAAGTAATAAAATGAACTAGGCTCACACTTCTCCAGCACGTTATTAATCTCACGTGCCACACTCAATATGGCCGCCGCTTGAGTGGGGCAACTCAGAATAATAACGTGCTGGATTAGTTTGATCCTAGTTCATTTTATTTCTTCATTGCTGTGCTGTGTGTGTATAGGCCAATGCCTCGGCTGGCGCTCGTGCCGAAAGTTTCTTGGGCAAACTCACCGGCGTGATAGATTTATTTAGATATATTTATATAGAATTCTTTTTCTTTTTTCTACATACTTGTAACTTACGTTTAATCTTGTAGCTAACTTAAAAATCTGGAAAGTTTAAGGTAAAATGTGAAATAAGTTTAAGTTCAGAATAACTAGGCCCTTTATGGTGAGGTGAGCTAAAGAAAACCAAAAAGGCCCCACTAAAGTGACACTAAACACAGGAGTTAAATCTTAAAAATGCATTAAAGTACCTTACCTGTTAAAAATGTATCTTATTTGTGTATAACTCGGCTGTAGATTCTCAACTCATCTCTGAATTTCTGCGGACACTGTCCTTCTGGAGGTTGGCTACTTTTGTTCCCCATGGTCCCTGTGTGTGTTGGAAAGTATCCACCACTCCAAGCACACTCATGTGATGGACTACAATCCAGGGGCTGACGGGCAACTTTTAGCCCAGGGGGCAAGTACAACCCAGAGGCCCATGGTGCAGCGACTTGGCCCACCTCCTGCTTTGCCTCTTCTCCCTGCCTGGCACTTTTGCCATCCATGTGTGAATGGTCGAGTGATTTGAGGACTCAACAGTTAGTCCATGAAAGGGGTGACTGGCTGGGGGATGGGCTGCTGCACATTATACAGCAATGCAGAATAATACCACCAGCTATAGAGGACAAATAATCCCAGCAATACATTATACAGCAATGCAGAATAATAGTATATTAATTTGCTACATACTCTTTGCTGCTGCTCTGCTGCGGGGTGTCAAGCTGATGTCTTGATCAGAGGGTCTCAGGAGGGGTGTGGAGGGTCGTAGCAGAGGGGGATGTGCGGGTGGCGGAAGAGCTGTAAGCAGGCACCATGTGGTTCCCCAGAAGGCTGCTGCGTGGTTCCCCTGCAAACGTGGGACCTAACACAGCCGAATCAATTTGAAAAATTAAAGCACAGGTATCAGTGTATCTATGGTCTGAAGACCTTTGTAGGCGTCAAAAATCATTTGTAATAAGACTAGCTAGGACTCTGTCACCCAGCATGTGCGCCCAGTCTTGTCCCGCTCCCCTTCTGCTTTTTCTGTGAAGAGTTTATAACACAGAGTGCAGGGGTCAACGGTGTAGAGGTCAGTATGTAACCCAGTGCAGAGGTTAGCTGTGTAATGTAGAGGTCAGTATGTAACGCAGTGCAGAGGTCAATGAACAGTATGTTACGCAGTGAGGCAGTCAGCATGTAACGCAGTGCAGAGGTCAGTATGTAACGCAGTGCAGAGGTTGTATGTAACGCATTGCAGCGGTCAGTATGTAACCCAGTGCAGAGGTCAGCAGTCAGTATGTAACCCAGTGCAGAGGTCAGCACGTAATGCAGTGCAGAGGTCAGCATGTAATGCAGTGCAGAGGTTAGCTGGGTGATGTAGAGGTCAATATGTAACCCAGTGCAGAGGTCAGCGTTCAGTATGTAACGCAGTGCAGCAGTCAGCATGTAACGCAGTACAGAGGTCAGTATGTAACGCAGTGCAGAGGTTAGTATGTAACGTATTGCACCGGTCAGTATGTAACACAGTGTAGCAGTCAGCATGTAACGCAGGGCAACAGTCAGCATGTAACACAGTGCAGCGGTCAGCATGTAATGCAGTGCAGCGACCAGTAACAGTGCGGCAGTCAGCATGTAACGCAGTGCGGAGCCAGCATGAAACGCAGTGCAGCAGTCGGTATGTAACACAGTGCAGCAGTCAGTATGTCACGCAGTGCAGCAGTCAGCATGTAACGCAGTGCAGAAGTCAGTAGTGCAGTGCAGACGTCAGAATGTAACACAGTGCAGTAGTCAGCATGTAATGCAGTGCAGCAGTCAGCATGTAATGCAGTGCAGAAGTCAGCCTGTAACGCAGTGCAGCGGTCAGTAACACAGTCCAGCAGTCAGCATGTAACGCAGTGCAGCGTTCAGAATGTAACACTGTGCAGAGGTCAGTATTGCAGTGCAGCAGTCAGAATGTAACGCAGTGCAGCAGTCAGAATGTAACGCAGTGCAGCAGTCAGCATGTAATGCAGTGCAGCGGTCAGTAACATAGTGCAACAGCCAGCATGTAACACAGTACAGCTGTCGGTATGTAATGCAGTGCAGTGGTCAGTAACACAGTGCAGAAGTCAGAATGTAACGCAGTCAGCATGCAATGCAGTGCAGCGGTCAGTAACAGTGCAGAAGTCAGCATGTAGCCTAGTGTTGCAGTCAGCATGTAGCACAGTGCAGCAGTCGGCATGTAGCACAGTGCAGCAATCAGCATGTAATGCAGCACAGCGGTCAGTAACGGAGTGCAGCAGTCAGAATGTAATGCAGTGCAGAAGTCAGCATGTAACTCAGCACAGCGGTCAGTAACGGAGTGCAGCAGTCAGCATGTAATGCAGTGTAGTAGTCGTTATGTAATGCAGTGCAGCAGTCAGCATGTAACGCAGTGCAGCGGCCAGTAACGCAGTGCAGCAGTCAGCATGTAACGCAGTGCAGCAGTCGGCATGTAATGCAGTGCAGCAGTCAGCATGTAACACAGTGCAGTGGTCAGTAAAGTAGTGAGCAGTCAGCATTTAACACAGTGCAGCCGTCAGCATGTAATGCAGTGCAGCAGTCAGCATGTAATGCAGTGCAGCGGTCAGCATGTAACGCAGTGCATCGGCCAGTAACGCAAACCAGCAGTCAGTATGTAACACAGTGCAGCGGTCAGTAACGCAGTCCAGCAGTCAGCATGTAACGCAGTGCAGAGGTCAGTATTGCAGTGCAGCAGTCAGCATGTAACACACTCTTTTCCTCTCCTGTTGCACGTGCTGTGCCATCTTTTTTTCCTCTCCTGGGGGGGTCATCTGCATGTTTGGAGGTGATTCCAGCCACTTCCTGCAGACAGCCAGTAGGAGTGCAGTCTCCCTCTAGCCAATAGCAGAAGAAGTGGGCGGAGGAAGCTGCCGAGGAGCTCGAGCAATACACAGGCGTATCACAGGCAGCTGAAGAGCCTCTTCTCCTCCTTCTCTGCAGGATCAGAGCGTCCGGGAGGGGAGATTGCCGCTGCGCTGGTGGGGGGCGTTTTTACAGGCACCAGAGAGGCCCGGGGGCAATTGCCACCCTGCCCAGCGGCCCAGTCTGCCCCTGCTACAATCTCACATTTAGTTTACTCATTTGTATTGAGATTGTAGTCCATCAAGGGAGCAAGCTTGGAGTGGTGCCTACTTTACAACACACACAGGGACCAGGGGGAAGAAAAGTAGCCACTCTCCAGAAGGAAAGACAGTGTCAGCACCAATTCAGAGATGATTTGAGGATCTACAGCTGAGTGTTAAACAAGTAACATTTTTGTTAATAGTTAAGCTACTGAAATGCATTTTTAAGATTTACCTCCTGAGTTTACTATCATCACAGATAAAAAAGGGATATGTTCCTCATTTTAGGATAGTGGATGGAGCCATGCAAATCATTAATTTATGCCTCGTGGCCAGACTGTACATCCAGAACTGTTGGTTTAGAGCACAGATACAGCCTAATATTATAGAGCCATTTACTCCAAACTTCATACAGCTGTTTCAGGCTAGTTGGTCATCCTCAGGTTGGGTTCACACCATTTTCTGGACCAGATCTGGAACGCAGTGCATTGCGTTATTTGCCATGTTTTTACAGAAATTTTGCAGTGTTTGGAATTTTTTTAAATATTTTTTTTAACTTAAATTGGTCTTACAGGTAAAATGCGTTCCAGACCAGACAAAATGAGACATGCAGTATTTTTCTGGTCTGGAATGGACTGTGCTGGTGGGAACAGAGGCCAGAAATAGCATAGGGATACATTGAGATGCATTTTGGGTCCGGAAACAGTCTCGTCTGGTCTTGATGTAATCTGGATGTGTTGTGAATGGGCCCCTCTAAAATGGAAGAGCTAGAAATAACTTTTTTTTTAAGAAGAGTCTACTGTGTTTTTCAATAATTAGGGGAAGAAATATTAAAACAGTTTGATAGCTTTCCTTCATTAAACCCCCATTTCTTTTAAACATCTCGATTCAGCAGGTGTGTGTTAGGCTTAAGCTTTTACAGCTCAGACCACTTTGTGTATCTGGCTTTAGTTATAATTTTTGGTCATTGATTTTCTCGTGCAATTGTGTATTTTCTCATACACACAGTAAGCAAGAAAAAGATACAAGATTTTTCTGTATTTGGAACAACTTTATTATCATCATCATTATCATACACGGACTTCTCATGTAATTATAGACTAGGTCTTACGTCTTGTAATATGATCATGAATAACAGCCTGTGTGTAAAGATGACTCTGTATTGGTGTCCGGGTTGTATTATCTCCTGGCGGAGCCTAAAATATAACAGAAAAAAATGTAAGTTGCTCATGCTAAACCAATGGATGCATAGTTTGGTTAGTGCGGCCAGATCTTATCTTTGAGCACGGTAGAGAGCACTGATTCACTAATTGTTTATGCATTCACAGAGGTGGTGTGGATTATAAAAGTTGGAAGATATATCCTCACATATTTCAAGGACTTTATTGTATTAAGAAGGAATGGACTACACATATGGATATGCAGATTAAGTGGGAGTTGTACATCACTTGTGAGATTTAATACATAACTTTCTATATGTACACATTCTATGAGATGTACTAGCACAAGTATATGTGTTTTTGTTATTCACATTTTTTTTCAATGTTTATTATGGCTTATAGTGTCTAGAGTCCATTAGAGCAAGAGTTTTTTCTGAAGTATCATTAGCACCGGCATTGTGCACAACAGGTGTTGTGGATAACACATAATTGTTTCATCACTTTGTGATAATTTCACAATTTATAACATTTTTCTCACATTTTAGGAATATATTTTTTGAGTTTGTAAAGCGCAGTGCTATTTTTCTTTTTTCCTATTTTGGGTGTACTCACCTATTAAGCACAGCTGCTCTTAGACTGTTATTTGATTCCTAACGCAGTTTTTTTTCTATTTAACAAAAAAGTAAAGCGTAATGCTAAGGGCCCTAAGGAAAAATATATTGTATCATGTTTACATGGTTTACTATGAATTTCATGATAAGGAGGATTTTTAATTTAAAATGCTTACCAGCTACACGTACGCAGGTCGGCGTGTGTCGTTAAAAATAATACATTAAAAAAATCATTTTTTTAAAATTTCCCCGAGTCGTCGTCATGGACAATGCTGGACCCTGGATTACGATGGTGGATCAATTTCTGATTTTTGTTTTTTTAATAAAAGACTTGTGAAATACTTGTCTTTCGGGTTTTTTTTTTCAATTAAAGGAAGTTTGCTGAAGTCTGGATTTTTTGTTTTAAACACTTAATTTAGGGGGGTGGGGCGCAGCTGGGTGACCCTTAATTAAAGGGGTACCCCAATGTGAATGAGCCCCTCTGGCCGCACACCCACAACCAACGCCCCAGGGTTGTGGGGAAGAGGCCCCTGTCCCTATTGGCACGGGACAAGGTGCTTTTGAAAGGGCGACCCTGGAAAAGCACCCTCCCAGTGCTGAGGGCATGTGGCCTGGTATGGCGGGGGGGGGCTCTCTCGTCCCCCCCTTTCCTGCCCTGCCCAAATTTACCTTAAGGGCCTGGTATGACTTCATGGTGGAACCCCACACACTTTTTTTAATTTTAACTTTTTTTAATTTTAACTTGGAGTCCCTCCTAAAATTCCTACCAGACCTAAAGAGTCTGTTATGACTTTTGGGGGGAACCCCACGCTTTTTTTTTAAAGGGGGTCCCTCCTAACTTTCCTACCAGACCTAAAGGGTCTGGTATGGTTTGGGAGGGGGACCCCACGCTTTGGCTCAGCCGATCCGCATGTTGGATCGGCTGAGTCTAGCTCCCTCTGCACTTGGCTCAGCTGAACATGCAAAGGCAGCCGATGTACGGCTGAAATCAGCCGTGCTGAGCCAGAGTGAATAGCCGAATGTCGTCCGGCTCTGTTCACTTCGGCTTGGTTATTCACTCGGCTGCTTTGGTCAGCTAATTCAATAACCCCCTAAGCCTAGGTTTGTAACTTAAATAAGTTATCTGATTTCATCCCTCTAGAATAGATTAATTAAATACAGTCATCCATAGGAAACCGCTGCTATTACATGATCAATAATATTTAGAATGTTTTAGCTGAAAATACATTGTACAGTTAGTTTTACAGGAATTGTTATTTTTGATTATGTGAATATTCTTCTTTGTCTAGAAGTGCATTAATTCAGTCTATGGATCCTGACAGATTCAGTACATTTCTGCAATTTATGAACTTATCTCCATGCTTTGTCCTTTTAAAAATGCTGCAAGTGCAGAAAAAAAATACATGTTAATCTTGCCAAAAATCTAGTGAGCTCCCAACTTTCTGCAGTCAGACAACCCCGCCTATGCTTAACAGAAATATCAAGCAGTGTTATTAGCCCTGTCTAGCATAAGGGTGATAAATAGCTATTTGCATGACATTATTAATGTAGTCACACCAGCCAATCCTGTAGGACTCTTGTGCACAACCAGAAGCCCACCAGTTGAGGTATGGAGCACAAGGGGCTACACACTGCGTACCAATAATTTAAGAACATAAGTCTATGTGAATGTGCCAGAACTCAGCTGTCAAAATGATGGCTGATTCCTAGTCTGATCAGGATCCCTTTGACACTCCTCCAAGTATGCTTGTAAACAAAGCTTCCCATTTGTTAATACAGGAGTGCAGTCAGACTGACTTTGCAGAATTTGCTTATCCCACCCACTACCTGCACCTTTCTGCTGCCGGTTTACATCTCTGACCACCTCCTCTCCAGGCTGCTCCCGTCTTGGCCATCTCTCCTCCAGTTAAACTGCTTCGTTTGTGGCCAATCTTGCCTCCTAGTGGGATTACTCCGATCATGGCCATCTTTCCCTGCCACACTGTTCTGGTCCCAGCCAATCCCCCCCATCCTCAATTAAAGTTCTCTAGTCCTGGCCATCTACCTCCGTCAAAACACTCTTCTCTGATTCACAGGGTAGCAGTCTCTTGAGATCTCTGGTATTAATGTGATTATCTAATGTATGAATGGTTTTGAAGGTAAACAAAGATGTGCATATGAATGTGAAAAGCTGAAGTGAGGACAATGGTGACTAATCACTGTACTCGTGTGAAAAATCATACTATGAATGGATTTGTTTACAAACACAAATCCATTAATAAATGTACATAAAACCCCCACAAGGATAAAGACATTATTTTCCTAGAACTATAAGGGGTACTATATATAATCAGGAAAGGAGGTCTCAGCTGTGTCCTACCAAATACCATCACCCTACTGGGTGCCATTCATATTGTTCAAATATATGCACTCCTTTACTAGGGTCTAGAAATTAAATAACACTCATGAATATAATAATTGGAGAAATAATTCTGGCCATTTACCTTTGAAAAAGCTCTCATGTAGAGGGAAACGCATCAGGGCAAGTGGCCATTGTATCCTGTGGAGCCTTTTTTGTTTGCTTGTGGGATGGACTATCATGCCAACATGGATATGTGGACATATGAAAGGATGTCTGCCCTCAGGAAATGAGGTTTCACATCTGAACAATTCAGTGGGATCCGGATGAGAATCGTAAAATACATATGCTCTATATGTGGAACAGTGAGCTTTAATAGATGCAATACTAGATGCATGTTCAATATAATGTGTTACCAAACAGATTTTGTTCTGTGAAGTGTGGCATCATATAGTGCCTTGAAGTATTGGATGCACACTAGGGGACAGGGAACTCCAGCCCCTCAGGATGTGTGACATATTGTGAAGCACCTGTTTGAATATACAGTAAATGATATGGTGGTGTCATGACACAACAGGATTGGTCTAACGGATCCCATCTTGAGATACATGCATATGCGAATGCATAGAAGGAACTGTGCACTATTTATAACAATATTAAGGATTCACAGGAAGTTTAGCTTATGACCCAATACGCATGTTGGTCTGCATGCGTTGTTTACAACTGAATTCAGGAAATCTATACAGCACTGGACTTTTCATCCACAAATGTGGTGGAAGCCAAAGCATTGAAGGGCATTGATATACTGTATGTTAAGCATAGTCAGATCTGGAATGCAGTGCATTGCGTTTTGCCACATTTTTACCATGATTGTGAAGCATTTTGAAGCATTTTCTTTTTTTGTTGCTTAAAATGGGCTTTCAGGTGGGTTCCAGTGTGATTGTATGTTTTTTTGCATTCCAGACCAGACAAAATGAGACATGCAGTATTTTTATGGCCTGGTCTGGAACGGACTGTGCTGGTGTGAACAGAGGCCAGAAATAGCATACGGATACATTAGGTTGCAATATGGGTCCAGAAACAATCTGGTCTGGTCTGGAGATGATCTGGATGTGGTGTGAATGGGCCCTTAAGAATATGTAAATACATCAAAGCTTGGCCATAGTTACACTTTTTTTTAATTTCTGTTCGCTAATAAGGCAGCCAAGAACTTGGATGAAGCCAAAAGAAATTACATCAATGTCATCACCAGGCATACAGGAAACTTGGCTGATTGGCCACAATTTGTTTGCTTCAGTGTATGACCTTTGCTTAATAACAAGTAGCATCCACATCTAAATCACAACTTACAGAAACTATCCTTGGCAACATCTAGTATTGTCTTATTAAACATCTCCAGCCTTTGAAGTATCTAGGCTCTATTACTGGGTAACTACTGAACAAACTTTACAGTTTAATAAAGAATGGAATTCATTATATGAGCATTTATCAAACCAGGCAGTCAGTAGGATAGGATAAAAACAGAAAATCAATCATTTACTTTGGAGGAAGAAAACAACTGAACAATGTTTAGTATGGTCTATGTAGTAGACAAACAAATATTTTATGTAGAGTGGGTTTTAAAAGCCATGTCACTGTATCAAATAAATAACAGCAAAGTGACAGTTTACAATGCAGCCTGATATCTGTATCATCTCGATCTGAAATTCCTGTAAACAATTTATCGTTTTATTTCAATGGAGATGTACTAAATCAGCCTATGGACTTGTTCACACGAATTACAGTGCATTCCCGCGCGGTTAGCTGCTGGAACGTACTGCATTGCATCCCGGCCGCCTTCCTGCATTCAGGGGCGGGAGGGGTTGTGATTGTGCAGTGAAGGCAATGGCACAGCAGCCCCGGCCTCCGCCCGCAGTGCGATCGCCCGCACCAGAATGCGTGGCACATCAATGCCTGCGTTCTGGTCCAGTGCAATATGAAAAAATAGTGCATGCAGCATTTTTTTCAGATCGCACTGGACCGCAATGCAGGCACTGATGTACCACGCATTCTGGTGCAGGTGATTGCACTTTGGGCGGAAGGCGTGGCTGCGGTGCCATTAACTTCAATGCACCACCACACTCCCTGCCAACCCAAAACGCAGGGGGGAGTTTAGTATGTGATACAGTGCATTCCAGCGGCAAACCGCGCTGGAACTCACTAACTCGTGTGAACAAGTTAAATGTAGATACGAAAACACTGCTCCAGGGGATAAATGCATCATTTTTAGCAACCAGGTAAGGACTAGGCTTTGTAGATCTTAGCCATCAGGTAATAATCAACACTTTTCGGTGTAAAATTGTCTTCTTTCTTGTAGCCACTCCCCAGAAAGGACAGTGTCAGAACCAATTCAGAGATGATTTGAGGATCTACAGCTGAGTGATACACAGATCAACTACATTTATGTTAATAGCTAGGGCACTTTTAAGTTAGGCGTTTTTAATATTTAACTCCTTAGTTCAGTGTCAATTTAAAGGGGGTATCACTCTCTCACAACCATGCCTCCAACTTATTTGTGTTTTCTCATGCAAGGTGGTCCATCAGGGAAGCATTGCACTAATATGAAATAATCTGGCTTTGAAATACTCCTGATGAGTGGAGATCCATCCTAATACTAGTGACCCTGCCATAAGGTATAGGCCAGCATGTTAATTATTTTGCCAGGAGCCACATAAAGCGGATATATCAATTTTCAGAGGCTTTCAACCTTAAACAGCAACTAAACTCTGTATTATTTGCCCATAAAAAGACAATGCCTGCATATACTGTTCTCTTACTTTATACTTACATACTGTATACTTTTAAGATAGTGGACAGAACCACGCAAATCATTACATTGTGCAAGACACAGCCTAATATTATAGAGACATTCATTCCACCTGCATACAGCTGATTCAGGTTTGTTGGCTATCATCAGTGCATGTTTGGGATCAATGGCTTCTATGAAGTAGGGCTTGAGGACCAACAAGGACGTATAACCTAGGTCCTAGAAGGTCATTGTGAAAGGGACTAAGCGAACCAAAAAAAAACCTCCAGTGAAGCAGTGTGTAGCAAAGTAAAGTCTTCTTAGAACAGAGTGAATGCCCGTGCCTTATTCCATCACATAGCCAGTTCCCCCACCCTAAAATGTGTAAAAAATGTGTTTCACACTGGTTAAGTAAAGGTTTTGGTTCCTTTAGATTCTCCTAATCAAAATCTGCTGTGGTATATTTTCTTTTTAATAATGCGGGAAAGGATTTTAATTGTTTGCTAACAAGATTGCTATTGAAAAAATGTAAGCAAAGTATTATAAATTATAGAAAGGAACCACGGTGACAAATCCTCTCTATTAAACAGTGCCACGGTATGTTATCATAAAAGCAATAAAGTCAAGAATGGGGACAGAACACACTGTATACATACCATTTTTCATTATAACTACACTGTAAGTCAGGAACCATGTTTTAAAATACCACAAAACTGACATTTATTTGCTTTCCTAATGAACTACCTGATACCTCTGTATATTTAAAAGTGTATGATAAAAAGGTTCCATGATGGATTCCCCTTTTACACAACCTAAAAAAACAAGGAATACATATTTCTAAGTGTGACTGAGCCATGAACAATGACTCTCTGATGTTTAAAAGACCGTGCAGATCCCTCATTTCAAACAGATCCTTAAATATATAAACACACAAAGGAGTGACAATATTAGTCCTCAAGTTGCTAAGTGATACCACTTGTGAAGCCATGAAGCACAGGCAATAAAAACAGAGCAGAATCCTTAAAACATATGGTAATGTGAGAGGAGAAGTGAAAATTGCCGCCTTGCTCTGAGAAAAATATTTACCTTAGGATCCACGTTTAGTATTTTCCTGTCCCTCTTATTTTTGAACAGTAATCCTGATGAATTTTCTGCAATCACTTGGTAATTTGGACTTGCATTTGAAGTTGAAACATGGGTTTCCCAGTTATAAAAACTGCAAAAACAAAAAAGCAAAGAAATTAAGCAAATACTTTTCACTGACTGCACTGCACATCAAAGACATTAATTTTCATGCCTAAAGAGATCCTGTCACCTGACCATTCATTTCAACAACAATCTTCCCATAAGATTATATGTGCATTTAATATACTGTACATTATGCATGTTAATTTACCTGTACAAACCTCCCTTGTGTAGACATCCAAAATCACTCAAACTGTTGCTGGGCAGGACCATCTTGGATATGGCCCTGGCAGCCTTATAGTTGTCACTCAAATGACATCCTAAAGTATTTCCCTTCACTCCTCCCCTGGATGCGACATAACATAAAGAGTTTGGGGTGGAAGGAGGGTGGAGGAACTGGCCCAGCATAGACACAGATTTCTCCAGAAGAAGCGTGATCTATGATGTGAAAAGGAGGTAGGGGGCTACTGATGAAGAGTGCGTTTTTGCCCCCGAAACACATTGTATATTGCTTTCTGAATCATTAAAGCTGTTTTGGACTCTTTTATGATTTTGCTCTGGCGCTACTTCCTTGGTTATTGCTTTGAGTGACATTCCTGAATACTCATCTGAGGGTAGTCGTGTTCCCATGTGAGCCCTACCACCAAAGCCAGTGAGCTTTAGGAATGACTGTGTAAATAAGCACTGAAGTCCCAGTGCCTCTTGGGTGAACCCTTTAGGATGTTTTTTGCAGTCTGTTTCTACATTGGGGAGATTTCCCTTCACTTTGAGCCAGGACAGAAAATTATGAAAGAACACATTTGTAAGGACAAATATACCTTTTTGCAGTAAAAGGAAAGGGTTAGAACCTAAGTCTGGTTATTATCACTGTCTGCATGTTCCTTTCCCAGTAACAACTGTTGCCCTCATTTCTTGCCCTCTGCTGTCTGAGGGAAAGGACTTGAGGTGAAGTCTCCCCAACAGGATCACCAATCAAAACCTGATAGATTTGTATTATTGGCCTAACCAATGTTTTGGGGAAGTTGGCCTTTCAAAATAATTTTACTGTCTCTTCTCACCCAGAGACTATTTCCTTGAGGGTAGAGCTGTGAATGATATCAGAATTTTCAACTGCACTGCATTGGGTAAATCTGCTAGCATTCTTAGCGGAGCTTTTGATCTCTGCTGCGTTACATTGACTTACTGCCAATTATAAACAACAGTGTTTGCACTTTGTGTTATTTTTTAGAATCTCATTGCACTAAATTGGCCAACCAGTTATTTCATAATAAAGCCAAATGTTTTATGTCCTTTTTTTATTGTAAGTAGAAAGGTAAAAAGCTGAATTAAGTTTTTTATGTTATTTGGGTCCCCATTGGAAAGATCCACCGTTGCCATTTATACTGGCTAAAATAGTCACTGGGATAGTAAGTAAGGGCAAAATTCAGATCTAATGGTTGTCACTGGAAGTGGTATAGAGGGAATATATTCCTATTAGGATACCTGTTACAGTGATAATAATCAAAGGTAAGATTTCCTTGATGTGTCTCTGGGACAGAAAGTCAGAGCAATAAAAATATGACAGAGCTTAAGCCTTCCCCATCCAATCCAAAACTTAAAAAAGAAAAGTCTGAAGTTCTGCATTGTCCCTCTATTATTAATTAAACTTAGAAACATCATGGGGGCTCTTAATGCCATTTAGGGCCCCCCCCCCCCTATATTAGGTTGCCTGATTGTTGCATATTACACATTAACTACTACTATAAATCACATACTGTTATGGATGGATCACAACTTTGTATAAAGGCGTGCAGTGAAAAGTTCCTGGATGTATTTTTAATGGTGGATTGAGTCAGGGTCACAGCACTGATAGTTCTGCATCTGTTTCTCAGTCCCAACCATGCGCATACAGCCAGATAGGATCATAAGGCATGGTAAATGCACTTAGCACACTATACTCATGTGTCATATTGATCCAAATAGCAAAGCACATAAACATCTCAAACATCTGGAGTGAGCAATTAACATATATCATTTTCAGAAAGCAAGCTCATGACAAGGAAGAAGATTGCAACTTTCTTTCTAAGTAGTATCGGAACCTAATGAACTCATTGTAAGCTTTTACGCTCTAGCTTGTAAGAGTGCACCCAATGTTTGGCAATAAACACCACAGAAACCCAAAATGCGGTATGCAGCATCTATGTACTACTGAGCATGTAATAATTGCCGTATTTAACAGAGAACAATATCATTGAACATTTTAAAGTTTATACACAGCACTATAATGCGCTGCCACTCGTACATTTTTAAAACAGTAATAGTGTTACTGAACTGTGTACATGCCCTTCTGGAGCTGATACTTACATATGTTCCATCATGGAGAGTACTCAATTAAGGTAATTAAAACAAAAAAAAGTAATTTGCATATGTTGTTATATATTTTTTGATGGTGATTATGATACATGCTGGAAAATCTGTATACATGAGAATTGATTCTTTAACTTTATGACCACCAGAATTTAAAGTGAACCTGATTAGCCTTAAGCACTGTTTTTTTTTTTTTGCAACAAGATTTTATTGATGAAACAAAAGCAGATTAATACAACAAGATGTCATAAGCACTGTTGTTTTTTTGGGCACAGTTTTAGGTCCAATCACCATGCAGTACCTGCAAATTCTCCTAGGATCTCCTAGGATCCTAGGTCCAGATTATACACAAAGAACTGACTTGTCTTTATGTCAAAATTAATCCCTGAACCCTATTCCACTGTTCCTGTTTACTCATTCTTATTCAACTATCAAATTACAGAAATGCAGTGGACAGTAGAGGTTCTTGCATTTGACAGCTGAAAGGGGTGGTACTTAGTACTATGATGGGGTAGATCTTAATCTCGGCTTAGAGAGAAGTTGAGATCCTGTATACAGCCTGGGCCTGTGTTCTCCAGGGGGACACAAGGAACAATTTGAAGACTGCACTTCACCTCTGTTACTTTTTAGGCCAGGTCTGTTACGCATTAATAAGTTGTGTTTGGAGTAGTGCTCCACTCACATTGATAAAAGAAAGATTTACCATCAGTCATGATAAGAGACCTGGTCATCCCTGGCTATCCAAAAAGAAACATACAGAAATGGGCAAAAATTTCCAACATGGTTCTTTCTACTTTTTTTCTAATCTAGTCTTTATTAAATCACAGGTATTAAATCAACGGTTATCCATTATCCTTAGGGGTCTTTAGACATGAATAGCATGCCTTTCTCACAGTTATTTGAGCATCCAAACCGCCCATTTAAATGAAGCCAGTCATATATGTGCATCAGGTAATATTTGACCATTACATATCCCACAGTGAATTGGTTTCAGTACCTGTGATTTGCAACTTTTAGATACATTCCAATGTTGTTAAAGTAACTGAGGAATTTACATTAGGGAGCACCACTTAATTAGGGCTTTATTCACACCATCTTCCTAAATGAGTCATAATTGGTTTTGTGGTCTGGCAGAAGATAAATACGTTCTTGAGTCCTTGCGGGGAAAAAATATGCAACAGTGGATGCAATCCAAGGTCACTAATGCACAATCAGTATCCAGGAATACCACATAAAGCACACACAGGAGATGCTAATGTCTGAGATAGATTTCTGTTCCATTACATGGAAAGATGTCTCCTGATTCGACATGTGCAGGTCATTTATAAGGGCCTGAGATAACTTGAGGGAAACTATTACTCTTTATCATACAAATCATCCTAGAAAACATCAAAGGGGAAATAAAGAAACAAATGTACATCTTCCCTGGAGTTTTACACACAATTGCTCAAATAAAGCTGAATAAACATTTTCAGAGATTACTAATGCCTTTGACATTATTATAATGTTAAACAGAAACACTATACACTGCATAAGACTGAGGTTCTGTTAGAAAGGTTGCAATAGTCTGTGTAACAGTAACCTGGCGAATAGCAGAAGCAAAGGGGTCTAAAGTAACAGGCTTTGGCTAGTATAAGGGCAGCGCGTTGAAGCGCTGCTATATCGCTGCTCCCAGGTAACTGCAGGTATTCCACCTTTGTGAGTGTGTGAATATCTGCTGCTCCCACTGCATGCTGTGGCTCCTCTGGATGGCTCATACGCAGGGGCGTAACTAGAAATCACAGGGCCCCATAGCAAAATTTTGTATGGGGCCCCCTGATTGCTAGTTATGCCACTTGCAGAGCCCACCTGATATATTATTATTATTATTATACAGGATTTATATAGCGCCAACAGTTTGCACAGCGCTTTACAATATAGGTCAGATATTTAAATCACAATACAATTCAAGACAAGATGGTAAGGAGGGCCCTGCCCCTGAGGGCTTACAATCTAAAAATATATATATATACCAAAAAGATATAAAAAGATATACCAAACAGCCCACCTGAGAGTGAGCCTGCAGAGCCCACCATAGACTCTCTATAGTGGGCTCTGCAGTGTCACAGATGGGCTGCACACCTCTTAGCTGTCAGCGCTGTCAGCCTCCGTGGTCGCCGGGCCCCGCCTCCTCTTCCGTCGACGGGTCCCGCCTCCTCTTACATCACTGGCCCCACCTGCTCTTAGGTCACTGGCCAGTGATGCAAGAGGAGGTGGGGTTGCTCTTAGGAGGGCCCCGCCTCCTCCTTCACTGCGAACGCTGGCCTCTTCTGCCGTAGCTGCTGGCTGTCACTGACACAGCTCCACAGCGGCTGTGAGGGGAAACGCCGCTACTGAGCTGTGTCAGTGACAGCCAGCAGCCTACATGCCATAGCGACCCAGGCGGCCCACACGGCATCAGAGGGATGCCCTGGCCGGGCCCCTCTGTGCCCAGGCGCCACTGCTCATACGTCATTACAGAACACACAAACCAAGGGAGGGAACCATAGTGTGCATCAGTGAAGCAGGTATTCGATACATCCTGAAGTGTCAAACACCTGCAGCAGCCAGTATAGCACCAATGCAGAGGTGTTTGATCACAGGCAGGTGGAACAGTAAACAGCTTCCTCATTTTCCTTGTATGCTGAATTCTCTTTTAACTTGGTA